GGACACAGGGGCCCCATGATCCCCTATTGCTCGGGGGCCCCATGAGTTGTCAGTCCGCCCCTGGTAATGGATAACCAAATTGACCATGGAGAGACCTTGGAAACTCAATTTTACACAAACCTCCATATTTACCAAGCCCCAACATTCAATTCCCCACTCCCAGTGTTCCTAGCTTGTTTTATGAATCTTGGTTTGTGAGTATACATTTTTTGTCATTTTCAAATAAATTCCTTTTTATCACGGTAAAGCACGAGTTGAGTGCGCCCCTTCTTTGCTTTCTTCCAGTAGAATTTTTTCCGACCTGTCAGGTTGCAAGTGTCATATCCTGAAGTCATCCAAGAGATAATATACTGTACTGCAAAGGATGTGATATATTCAAATGATGGGCTGAAATAAAGATCTGAACTATGTCCTAGGATACCAGGATAATCTATGACATGGCTGGATCTAGGGGGGTGCTGGGCTGTGCCACCGCAGATTTCAGTTGTGCCCCCCCCCCCCCCCAAGCTGGGTGCCCCTATGTACATTATGCCCATGACCTCTGAGCTTCCCCGTCATCACTCAGAGCTGGCTGTAGTGAACTACAGTAAACAGTCCGGACAGGAGAAGTGACAGTGGCAGAGAGGAGAGAGTGGGTTGGTGGTGCAGGCCTCTCTGAGACTTCCCTCCTCCTGTCATAACAGCGATCCTCCATACAGAAGGTTACACAGGATCGCTCTTTGATGGCGGTACACGGCTTGATTACCCACACCCATCTCCTCCAAAGACTGCTCAACTCTTGTAAATGTGGGTAATGGCGGGTAATCAAGCCGTGTACCGTCATATCTAAGAGCGATCCTGTGTAACCTTCTGTATGGAGGATCTCTGTTATGACAGGAGGAGGGAAATCACAGAGAACCTGCATTTCCTAACCACTTCTTTATTTCCCACATGTAATATTGGGGGATGGGGAGCTTGTGAAGGAGGGGTGGTGGTGGGGGGGGGGGGGTTTGTTTGTGCTGGTAAGGATTATTGGGGGGAATGTGTCAGTAGGCAGGATTGGGGAGGATTAGTGCTAAGAGGAACGGAATTTGGGGGGATTTGTGCTAGGAGGGAGATTTGGGTGGGGGCATGCATTTGTGCTGGGAAGGATAATATGCAGGTGATTGTGCTAGAAGTGAGGATTTGGGGGGGGGGAATTGTACTAGGAGGCGGGATGGGGGGAATTTGTACTGGTAAGGGGGATTTGGGGGGGATAAGTACTAGGAGGGGGATTTGTACTTAGAGGGGGGATTAAGGGGGAGAATTTGTACTAGGAGGGGAGATTGGGAGGGAAGATTTGTGCTAGGAGGGGGGTTTAGGTGGAAGTATTTGTACTACGAGGGGAGATCTGGGGAAAGGATTTACATTAGGAGTGGGGATTTGGGGAGAGAATTTGTACTAGGAGGGGGGATTGGTGGGGATGATTTGTACTAAGAAGTGGGATTTGAGGGGAGGATTTGTGCTAGGAGGGAAGTCCTCAACTCTTCTGACCACTGTCTTCCGCCATGCTGACCCCTGTACCCTGCCCTGCTAACCCCTGTTCTCTGTCCTGTTGACCTCTGTCCTCTGCCATGCTAACCATTGCACACAGACTAGATAACCCACTGTACATTGCTTTACAAACTAATGGCCTCTGTACACTGCCATACAGACTAATGGCCTCTGTACACTGCCCTACAAACTGCTGACCCTATCCTCTGTCCTGTCGACCTCGCATCCTCGACCCCCCTGACATTTCTCTCTGCACCCCCAAATTAGGCAGGCCAGATCCAACCCTGACCTATGAATTCATTAATAGATGACGTGGCAATAATGGTTGATAGCCACATATGACATATAGTGAGTCTTACTTAATACACCCTGTATCCTAATATGAAAACCAACTCACATTTATAAAGTGAGATATCTGTTATCACAACTTTAATATGGCATATATATTTCTTATAGAAACATGAACAAATTTCGATTAGTTTTGATCCTTGTAGGAAAGTCAGACCACAAGAATAATGGCTGCCCTCCAGTGGACAGGTACAACAATGACTAAATAAATGAACCGGTGATGACTATTTATATTGTCCAATCAGAAGACAGTCAACATTTAGTTTGGATGGACTTTGTAGACTATGGGTCCAAACACTAATAAAGCAGAAAAAAATTAGAAACTTGCTCACATCTGAGAGACGTGACCATTGCTACTATCCAGAAAAAATAATCTCTGTTTCCTCGATCCTTCTAAGACGCAGACACCATCTTTGAAATGACTACACTACAGAACGCTATATCTGGGAGGTGGTGAAATCTATACCAATAAGGGTCATAGCGAAATGTTATTTATGCCAAAAATCATTGCTAGAATTTCCAAAGCAGTGTTTTCATTGTGGTAAATTGCTACTTAGGGTGCATGGTGATTAAATTTGCTATATTTCTGTGTTGCATTTGATATAAACAGGGCTTTTATTCAGTGGGACCATGGGGAATGCAGTTTTGGCACCTGCAGCACTGAATGTATGTAATGGCAAGGGGTGCTGGGGTGAGCTGAAGGGACAAGTGACGTCACTGGAAAGAGACAGAGGGCCAGATGTGGACCACAGACTACGCGTTCGGAGCCTCTAGTGCCCTCTACTGGCCTAGTTCAGTGTAGAGTTTCCTGGTCTGTGCATCAGCCTGGTGTCCATCCCCATCTCCATAGCCCTTTTGGATTGTGACTGGCGGTTCCTGCAGGACGGAGAGGAGCAACTCTCCGTGAACTTACAGATGAGTCTTGTTTTTTTATTAACTCTTGTGAGTGTTTTTAATCCTGTATCATTACATGGTTTTCTAATCTACTACACTTAGCTGGAACCTCCTTCTCTCTTCCTCTTCTTCCATTATTTAGACCTGGCAATACACTAAAGGATGGCAGCCACTACCTGACTTTCAGCACTTAAAGGACTCATATAAACTCATGGACCTTTACAGTCACAGCTTTTTATTATAGTGTCCTCACGGCCATTTGACTACTATGTTTTATTTTGGATAACATATCTCTGTGCGCCAGAATCACTCTTATTTATTAGAATACAGAGGTTGTCAAAGAGGAAATCAAAACTAGCAGAGCAGAGCAGACAGACAGGGAGCTTGGAGCACGTGTTGAAAACGCAATATTACAAGATATGAAAGCATGAGACTGCAGGCTTGGCTGGCTTAAATCAAGTTTGCTCTCTACCCAGAGCCTGGCCACATCAATCACCTTGCAGGTGGACAGGAAGGGAGAATGTTTCACAGCCAGAACCAGGATGCTAGAATAAAACCAGCAGCTGCCATGGAACAGAAGCGTTTACACGTTCATGACAGCAGAAAAGGTCTGAAGCATTTTATGTGCCCATGTGCATGAGCCCTAAATGTATTATTTTAAAGAAGTATGAGTATCTTAATTTGACATGGCATCATGTCCCCTGAAAATGTCCTATACAATAAAGCTCAGACTGAGAGAGGAGAAGCAACACAATCCATTGTGTTGCGATGCTGATACGATTGACTGCGATAGAGAGCAGAGATAGCAGTGTGACAGAGATCAGCTGATCATTTGTGTTAAGCTGGGTATACACATACCGAAATTCAGCAAATTCTGCAGAAACTGTCCAAATTTGGGTACACATGTATCTCTGTCTGTTCAACAGGATGGTTCTGCATTCATCAGGATCAGTGTATTCTGATGGTGGGAGAGTCCCCGCTGTCAGCATACAGTAGTGCAGCAGTAGAGATCCCTGTATCACATCATTTGTGTGGATGCAGGGATCTGTAAGTTTACCTTTGCCTGTATACCCGACTTTACTGTCTAGTCAAAGGCTGGGGACAAGGACAAGATTTGTAAATATTATTTAACTGCAACAGAGAAAATTCAGCTCTCCCTTCCTATCCAACAGATTTGTGATGTGTAAATCTCAGAACTGAATGGACAGAAATCTAATTGTAAAGTAACACGGCTCTTATCAGCTTTTTTTGCAAACGTTTGAAACCAGGGAACACAATGACCTGCATTTTCAAATGCTCAAATTTTGAAGATAGGCATACCGGCAGATAGGGAGGAGCTCAGGTGTGGTCAGATCTTAGTCCCACCTAAGCAAGTCTGCAAGAAAGCTGTCACTGTACTGGGCCAATTATAAGCAGCCAATGTATTCCCCTCCCAGCTCCTGAATGTATGCGCACCCATTGTATATGTGCAGATGTGGGGCAGGGAATGCCCTGGCAGTAGATGATTGGCAAGGTACAGGTGACATCTTCCTGGTGAGCTCGCTCAGATGGGTTTGGACTAGGATCAAAACATACCTGAGCTCATCAATACCAGCAGACAAAGACATTTAGTGCAGAAGACAGCAGCACAAGATAATGGAAGGGGTATAGTTAAGGCTTTGGTTAATGGCCTTTGGGCTTGTGTCAGTTTAACTCCTTGCCTACTGAGCACTTATACCCCCTTCCTGCCCAGGCCAATTTTCAGCTTTTAGCGCTGTCACACTTTGAATGACAATTCCATGGTCATGCAACACTGTACCCATATTACATTTTTATAATTTTTTGGAGACAGATAGAGCTTTCTTTTGGTGGTATTTAATCATCTCTGGGTTTTTTATTTTTTGCTAAACAAACCAAAAACAACTTAAATTTTGAAAAAAAAAACCTTATTTCTTAGTTTTTATTATAAAATTTTGTAAATAAGTGATTTTTTTCCTTCACTGATGTGCACTAATGAGGCTGCAGTGATGTGCACTGATAGGCTTCACTGATGGGCACTGATGAGGCACTGGTAGGTGGCACTGATGGGCATTGACAGGCATCACTGATGGGCATTGAAAGGCAGCACTCATATATGGCACTGAGAGGTGGCACTGATAGGCGGCACTGGCTGGTACTGTTAGGTGGCACTGATGGACACTGATAGGCAGAACTGATGCGCACTGACTGGCACTGATAGGCGGCACTGACTGGCGCTGACAGGTGGCACTGATTGGCAGCACTGATAGGTTGATCTGACTGGCATTGATAGGTGGCACTGACTGGCACTGATAGGTGACACTGAAAGGCAGCTCAGATGGGCACTGATATGTGGCATTGATGTGCACTGGTAGGCACTGATATGTGGCACTGATGGGCACTGGCAGGTGGCATTGATGGGCACTGACAGGTGGCATTGATGGCACTGCTGGGGATACACTGATCATCAGAGCACACTGATCATCGGTGCCCTGATGATCAGTGTACATGTCCCCTCTGAAGGATGCCGATTACCTGCTCTCCACTCCTCACGAGCTGTCGGCGTGACAGCTCGTGAGGAGAGAAATGCCGATAAGCGGCATTTCCCTATTTACATGCGATCAGCTGTGATTAGATACAGCTGATCACATGACCGAGCCGACATCTTCGGCTCTTTTCATTGATCGGTGATCCACTGTGTCCGAGGGACACAGCGCACCACAGATCGCCATGCTGCGTGCCTCCAGAGCCGCGCATGCGTAGTTAGAATGGGAGGATGTCATATGACGTCCTCCCAGAACGAGACAATCGTCTTGCGCCCATCATTGCCTTATATGGCAGGTAGGAGGCAGTTAAGATCAAAATTGATTGACAGGTGCATTTTTTCTGCAGTTGCCCTCCTTTAGATCTGCTTTTGACCTGCTGCAAGTGGGTTTTGCATTCCCATAAACTTGTATGGAAATATAATACCTTCCTGAAGCAAATAAAAGCTTGTCGAGCAGAACAGCTGTAAATCCCCAAATATGTTAACATGCAAAATGTTCATGTTTGGCTGGATGACACTTTTACAATTCAAATAACATTATAAAAACCTAGGAAAAATAAAATGTCTAAAGATGAAAGTATAGTGATTTTCTGGTTCTTTAAATAAATGCAGCATTACAATTTTCTTTAAGGCAATTATGGAAGATTGACAACGTATCACTCTGCCACTGAAGACTCTCAAGTGCTCATTTAGTCTAAAGATAGGAACCTGCATCTTTAATGCCCACTTCTATAGTTGTGAAGCCAATGTAACCTTAATAGATATTAGCCATAATATGACCAAATATTCGGACAGTTCTCAGTTTGCTTTTAGGCCCCAAATGTTTATTTTTGTCTTTAAAATATTTGTAGTCCTAGCCCACACATAGGAAGCCCTTACCTGCAGAGGTAGTATGGGAACAACACTGGTGTTAAATCCAACATTCCAAATATGCTTTAATGACCTCTGAGTCCTTCCACCTGGAAGAGTCATCTTAAAACCTAGTTTCATTTAAAGTGGTTGTAAAGTCAAAATAGTGTACCTTAATGCATTCTCTGCATTAAAGTAAAAAACTCCCCACTAACTTTGCCCCCCCATCCCTAGACACTTAGCTGACTCCTCTCACTGTTACAGCACTGTCACAGCTGCAGCTCTCCTCTCTTCTTGGTCTTACACAACCCGATAGGTCCATCCATAGACTTCTATGGACCCTTGTCCACTGACACTCATCAGCATCCGATCCAATCCTGTATGCTAAAACAGTTGGATGGGGATCTGCTCCCCATCCGTCCAGCGGATCGAATGACAATCGGGTGGAAACGGACAGGCGGTCCATTTCCATCCGACCATCCCATTGAAATCAGTGGGCAGTGTCTGTGTCCGCTCTACAGAGACCTGTCAGCTACCTGCTTACGAATCTGATCTGTCAAAAAGGGGCTAACATGTGAAGTAAGTAACTAATTACAAACTATATACTAATAATCTCAGGGGAACAAGCAAAGAGAAGCACAGCAAAGCAAGTTCAGGCACGGGGACAGGATGACAGAGGAAATTGCAGGTCTGGGCAGGTAGAAGAGATATAGCTCAAATGCAACAACAATGGGTGCACAAGCACAATGCTGAGGCACTTGTTTGATTACAGAAATGAGGCTAAATAGCTTTTCATCAAGTAGTGACTAATTGCAATGGTCTGCTGGCTACTTGGAGACGCATGCTGGTAGAAAAGGGAATTACCCCAATCAAGACGTAGGACCACAATGCCACAAGCAGGTGGGGTTGTTATACAAGCGGCTGACAGTGCCCCCCTTTTAAGAAGCAGCTTCACTCCAATTGGACCAAACTAGTTGAGTCCTTGTTAAATCTCACTTACTGGGTACAGCAATTATTATACAAAAGACATTCCAAGTTAACAGAACACATGCTAGATGCTTATTGTGTTTGCACATTGTACTGTATAGAGTCATTAGATCCGAAGTGTCCTGCAAAAATGGTGCCCCATTAATAGTGACAGGAATAAAATCCGGTCCCTGGGGTTTTGTAGAACGATTGAGTGCTTTTTTGCCAGTGTTCAATATTGGGTTAGATGCCCCTTTGTGCTTAATTCTGGAAACTGGCTAAATGTCCTGCCACCAAGGTCTGAAGGCTGAGTACCCAACCACCAGGATCCAACATCAGGCTAGGTTCTCATCTACTAGGGTCTGGGTGCTAGATTCTTATCGCTCTAGTACACCATAGTGGAGTAAGACCACTGTGGAGTGCCCCTAGTCTTGAATTTGCCCCAAAAATGGTACCTTGTTACAGGAATCTTGTGACAGGTTCAAAGTCCTGCCACTGGGGTCTGAAGACTGGCCAAGTGCCCCTTCACCAGGGTCCAAAATCAAGCTAGGGGTCTCTTTGCCCTTTGTTCCTGCTAACTTGTTAAATGCCCCACCTCAGAGGTCAGATAACAGGCTTGGTGTCCCACTGCTAAGACCTGATAACACGCTGCATGCCCCTCCCAAGTTTGCCAAAAAAACTACTGCCAACAACAGATAACCCGATACTGAGGCATAGAACTGCATTGGGGTTTTCAGGAGTCAGGAAAACCATGACAACAGGATACTTAGGCTTTCTATACTATAATATATTACACATTTCAAAGTCATCTCACCAAAACCTGGTCTGCTGGCAGACATCTAGACCTTCTTAAAGCACCAATTATCCTTTATGGGTCCTTAAGTGCACTTTGAGGCACAGTGCATCCATCTAGGAGAAGTTCAAATGAAACTCCATTTTCTCTAAAAAGGCCTTTGCATCTATGAGCTTACCACTGAAGTCTCTATAACAGCCTTTCTCAACCAGGGTGCCTTGGCAAAATTTCTAAAAATTACCCAAAACTTGTTTACAAGCCAGCGGGTGGAACAAGCCTGCCTTTTAGTTACACAAAGATACAGGTTTTCATTGTGAACCATTACGACCTTCTATCCGCTGCCATCCTGACAACCAATGACATCATCAGTTGACAAGAAGGATGTCAGCTTCCTGCACAGCATCCTAGTTTGACCCTCCTCTGCCCCTCTCCATTAGTGCTGGGGGTCACATTAGCTCAGTGATGGAGAAAAACAGAGAGAAAAGAAACACTGGAATACTACTCAGCACCAGTGTGCAAAAGAGTATTTGCTTTTGAAGAATAAATCACCTCCAATGTTGGGTGTCCTACATGTGTGGATGTTGCTGCGTTATATAAAACTATTAGAATCATTTTTCATAATTTAGAAGGGGGTGCCCTTTTAAAATTACGGACAGTTTTGAGGCACCCCATTTTAGATTGGGGTGCCTCAAGACTGTCCATAATTTTAAAGGGTGCCTCAGGACTGTTAATAATGTTAAAGGGTGCCTTGACTGAAAAAAGCTTGAGAAACACTGCTCTATAATATAGGAAAAGCTGAGGAGCAATTAAGCCAACCATCACCCATCCATCATTAAAATATATTAAGGTCTTTTATAGCTGAAATCCAGCAAAACAGATAAATATGCAGCTGGGATACACATATGTGAGCTAACATTACTATACTTAATTGGCTGAGATTCATACAGTATATATCTGGTGTTCAGCAAATTAACCAATATTAATTAATGTGTTTTGAAATTAACTGGAAAAACATGCCAGTATTTTTTTTTTAATTCTATTTTAAAGTGAATAGAATTGTACTGTAGGTCTATATGCATACCAGTACTAGCATCACCTGTAATATAAAGCATGTAATCTACATTTCATCCATCAAATAATCAATATAGTCTCAAAATACGAGCTACAACACGATTTACTGATCTCATCTCTCATAAACTGTTTAAAAATACAGATTTTTCTGTGGAAAATAATAGCATCCTAAACTATGCCTGGAGATAAAATATATAGAAATGTACAGTATTTTCCATTAAAATTCATTTTCCATTTACCATTGACTCTAGGAATATCAATAGATTTGACATGATAGCTAGTATAAGACTGACATTGCTACAATAGTGGCTCAAGGCAAATGACAAATGCAGACTTTGATCTTGCCGATGCCATTCCAAGCCACAATGCTGCACCATGTCTGAAGTCACCTGCAAGGGCTCCCAGCTTAGCTTTGCCGTAGAGGTTCTTAAAAGGCAATTTTGTACTATGGTGCCAAATGGACAGCACAGACATGCAGGATGTATGCTCTTACACAGATAATTCAGCAAGCAAGAAGCCACAGGGTTACATTTGGGGAGATTTATTTAAACTGGAGAGTGCAAAATATGCTGCAGCTTTGCATAGAAACCAATCAACTTCCAGATTTTATTGTTAAAGCTTAAAGTGGTTTTAAAGTCTCAAGGTCAATGTATTCTATGCATGAAGGTAAAACAAATTCTGTGTGCAGCATTTCCCCCAGCCCCCCCAATACTTATTATTAGCCCTTAAATGGTTAGCACTTCCGCATGGCAGTACTAGGGTCATTGGTTTGAATCCCAACCACGGCACCTCCTGCCTGGAGTTTGCATGTTCTCCCTGTGCCTGTGTGGGTTTCCTTCAGGTACTCCAGTTTCCTCCAACACTCCAAAGACATGCTGGTAGGTAAATTGGCTCCTGTCTAAATTGGCCCTAGTATGTATATGATGAATGTGAGTTAGGGACCTTAGATTGTACGCCCCTTGAGGGTTAGGGGCTGAATGTACAATATATGTGTAAAGCTCTGCATAAATTGACAGCGCTGTGATGGATTTGGTAAAATGCCTATTCTATTTCCTGTATAAAATATACATTTTATACATATTTACTTTTATACTTTTTTATATTTCTAAATATATGTGTTGTGCGTGTATATATATATATATATATATATATATATATATATATATATATATATATATATATATTTTGTCTGCTGGGCTTTGCAGTCCTCCTTAACTTGTTTTGTTCAGAGCGATGCTCTCAACCCCTCCCTTCGCACTGAGAGGACCTTATACTTGGGCTTTGGGAATGTGAGGGGGGGTGAAAAGATAACGGGATTATTATTATTATTATTATTATTATTACTACGAGTTTATATAGCGCCAAAGGGTTTGCTCAGCGCTGTACAATAGGGGGGACAATACATGGCACAGTACAACAACAACAAACAACGTACGAGGGGTAAGAGGGCCCTACTCTTACGAGCTTACAATCTAGGAGGGAGGGGG